TCGCAAAACGCCATTCGACATAAATAAAAAAAGCTGGTTAAATATGTCAAATATAGTAGTCAGATAAGTACCAAAAAAAATAACAAATTGTAATTCGATGTCTATTTGGTACAGAAAATGCCTTCGCAGCGACGAAAAGAATATGTGTTTATAGTATAAACTTTATACAGATTTGGCGTCTCTTCCACTTTCTTCTTGCTCCCTTTACGCGACTGCTTCTTCGCTTATCGATGGGCTTATTTCTAAATATGGGAAGTCAAGAATATCGTCTGCGTTCCTCAACATAAAGATAGCTACTGAATTATTTCGTGAATATAATATATTATCTACAAATTGTCATCTCAATACACGGTTTTACTCAAGATTCTATCCATATTCATCGAATTAACCACCGATTAAATACTGCTTCTCGTAAGGGTCTTATTCATATTGTTATTCAAAATCGATTAATAATTTCCCATACAAAAATTTTCAGAGACTAAAGACCTTTCCTTTTCGCACCTGATCCCTCTTAAGCCTGCTGAACGGGACTGTACCAGCAAATGGGCGACTCCCAACTCTCTCAGAGCCATCCCTGGGCTTAAATGGAGCCACTTCACTCACAATTCAATTGGAAGCCAGCAAATAGTAGCAGGCATCTTGATAAAGCCGCCGAAGGAATAGGCGCAGCGGAAGCGGAAACAGAAACTGAAGCCCAAGTTGAGACTGAGGGAGTAGGCACCAGGACACAGTGAAATCCCGAAGATGGCACCCAAGAAGCTCAACATAAAATAATCTTATGGCAGTCGCAGACCCGGTAAGTACTGCCAAAGCACTTACCAGGCCGAAACCCATCGCCACCCCAGCCGCCTGGTGGCTCCCCCGTTGGAAAGCTGCCCAGAGGAGTGGAGCGCCAGCTCTTGGTACTGCTCCTGTTCATGGGTTGGCTGTCGTTATTCCCAGGACGCAAATTATGCATTAAGCTATAGAAAAATGCCGCATAATGTTATCAGGCAAGACGATAACGATGGAGGGGAGCAAAGAATATAGGGACGGGATGGAGCTGGAGCTGGTAGCCAAGGTGATTCCATCTCTCCTTCAGCGCGAATGAGTCAACTCGAGCGCAATCAAAATGTGTAAATTAGCACTCAGCAGGCAACAAATCCTCATTGCCCGGTGGCAGTCCCACCTTCATCTTCATCTCCATCTCCTGATCACAGCGGACGGCAATGGCAATTTCCACTTTAATCTCCGCTGCAGTTGGTAGTCGAGCTGCAGTCTGCGGCACATGGCCGCAGCTTATAATTTCGTTTATAATTACACGCAAAGCCCCCAAATGTCAAATGCCAGGCAGGAGCAGGAGTCCCTGCACTTTCAGCTGTATTTCGGTAGCGGCCAACGACCGACGCGATGACAGTTGTAGTCGACGATGCAAAAATTTGTACCCAAAACCTGGCGGCGACACTTTACCTAATTACCACAGCGCACGCGGCAAACAGGGCAAGGAGAGCTCAACGGATGTGGACTGAACCGAGGAGCTCCACTCTGGTCTGGCGAGTGGCACGTGGCATGTGTTATATGGCAAGAGGCAAGGAACAACGACCAGTGGCCTGTGTAGGAGCAGGGGAATATCCGACCATTGCGACTGCAGTTTTAGCCATTCAATTATGCACAGTCGGAGGGCATAAATGGAATAAAGAATTGTCAAGTTTTCTACAGTTCCTCTGCAATTGCGAATGTAATCGAATTAAATAAATAAATAAATCGAATATTAGGGGGAATTCTTTAGGTGTTGCAAATAGGGATTATGATTATTAAGTGCCACATGTTCTTAATCAGAAATCCTCTCTAAACAGATACTTACTAGATTACAGAAGTTTCACTTTTGTGTTCTGTCCAATTGACTAGATTCTGCACAATTTTGAACCTCCGAACACGTACTCGAATTGGCCACTTTGTTAAAATGGTCGGGATAGTCACTCCTTATTTTTTTCATGAAGAAAACAGCACTGACAGTAGATTTGCTATTGCCAATTTCCTTATTGACGAGCACATGAAGGGTGAAATGGAATGGATGAAATGAAATGAAGGAAAAGAAAATGACGGAATGACTTGACCACCAGGTCATACTCTTCGGTGTCCTAGCATATGGCCATATTGGTCATGAAAATGGGCAGCAACGAACCTAGGCACTATATGGGAATTTATTATAGTCAGACCTGCCAGAACTGCGCAGATATTGTCCGATTCAAGGACGACTTTTCTTCGCTGTCGTTGGTTCCCCCTAGGAAACCGAACAGAGGGCATCCAAATAGGTGACCTGACTGAGGGCCTCGATGGATTCCTTGTTAATGACTTCCTGGTTATTTTCATTTTTCGAGTGCCAGTGTATCGATGGCCTACATACGCGACTCATTTAGTAGTAGTAACCAGATAATGCCTCAGTATGTTCACAATCGTTTTCGATGGTTAGGGTTAGGGTTAGCTTTCGAATCCGTATGAAGTTCTTTTGGTCCATGCACCGGAACCGACTGAGAATAATCAGGGATTACTATGAACACAATAGGCAATACAAATTATTATATTACCGATCTATCAATACCGGCAATCTCATCTTCATGTCCTCACATAAATCTTCCCAAGGAAGATTCAATTAATATTGTTGGGTTCCCCCGAAGGACCATCTATAGCTCCACAAAGCAGAACGCTTGTCCCCGTTGCAATTGTCGTATTCTATTTCATTTATCTTGTTCCTTGTTATACTATCTTAGTCTAATTAGCTGCTAATTAGCAGACAATTGTAAGTTAAATAAAACCATAAATTACAGCTGTGTATTTTAAAAAGATCGAAAAATGCATTTTATTTACAAATTTATCCAAAATCAACAGTTTCAGGGATAAATATCTTAAATATCATTATTTGATCGAAATAATAGTTTAACGGTCTCTAAAGGGTAATTGAAACTTTCATACGCTATCTTACTGAACTCATCGGCCTCTTACTTATTCTAAGGAACCTGCTTTGATATCCCAGTAATCTGTGACATAATTTCTCTTGCCTCCCTCTCCCACCCAATCCAGCGTTTGCCTTCCTGGGCGTATGAGCAATCCCTTTTGTTGGCTCTGCGATACATTATAAATTCGTTCTTGTTCTTTATTTTCTGGGGTGAAAGGAATGGGGCAGGCTAGATAAGAGCAGTTCACGGCGGCACATGCTGAGCACGCTAATCAGGAAGTCCTTTTATTGGGGAGCCTGGGCCTAGTCGGAGGGCCAAAAAATGTGCTGCGCTTGACTTATCCTCAATAATTATGGCCTCTTTGTTGCTGTGTCGATAAGAATGTTGAAATAATTACGGCCTAAGCTAAAACTTTGAGCCGGATGAGAAACCGCCGCCAGAAAGGCGCCTCCGCCAGAGAGAGAGGGAGAACAAGGGGGAAAAAGCGAATTATAATTGCATATGAAAAAAAAGGATATTTGGGAAAAATATCTCAGCCTGAGCAAAAGTTGCTAATGTCTTATTCAAATTGAATATGAGAGGCAGAAGCATCAGCCTTGGGTTTGTGCTGGCTGGAGGAGAGTGAAGCAGAAACATATCGAGAAACTCAATTACGAATTCATTTCGCTTGTCAACTTTGACAGACGCACAAATGGAGATTGAGATGGAGACGGAGACGGAGACAGATCCAGGACATATCCAGAATCCAGAGCAAGAATGGAAAAACTCTCCTTTACTAATTTCAGCTTGTAAACATATTTTAACAAAGATGTCAACAACGTGTGAGCGACGCACGGAGAGAAAGAGAGAGAGAGAGAGAGATACAGATACAGAGCGACATCTGCCCTAGTGATATATGTCTTTCATATAGGAATACCATAAACAATGTCATTTGACATGCAAATTTATTTATGAAAATAACAGACGCACGAAATTCAGAAATACTGAAGTGGAGAGACAGAAACAAAGCCGGCCCCCGAAAAGGAGGAAAAATCACAGAACCTACGCACACATGCTCGATGGAAAATGAGCTGCTGAGCTCAGCCGAAAAGACGAAAAGGCTACGCATGGGCTGGAGGATGGAGGAAAGTCAGGCGGCAAAAGGCAAAGGACCCGGGCAGAAAAAGAAATTCAAGCGTAAAGAGAAAGTAACTTAAGCAGCGGCAAACTGAGCAAATAAAGTGGGGGATATATGTACGTATATGGGGGGGTGGAACATGGTGGAAGGGGTAGTACCCGGTCTGGCCTGAACCCGGACAACAAAGTGGAAGTTACGGCACTCGCACAGGCACCAACACGCACACACACACAATCGCACATGCTGAAAAATTCAACAACATGTGGCCGCATGCAAGATAATTTTTTGTGTGTATCTCACCCTCCAAATGTTCTTTGCTAAGGGGTATTCCGATTAACTCAGGGGGTTTATATTTCGTTACAAATATTCCATGATGTTTCTAGATATATTTTATATATATTCTATAATCGTCTGTACAAAATCATGCTATAACGCGATCTGGGGTTGAATTGTTACCGAAAATCTTTAAGACCTTGCTACTTTCTAACTTTCGTTCTGTTTCATTCTGAATCCATTTTCGACTCGCTTTTGTCACTTACTCAGACGTATTGCGTTCGCCCTCGAAAACGTAACCAGCAAATGAAATGTTTATACATTTTTCAAATAAGGCTAACCAAGTGGGATAAATCATTTCACAATTTTCCGACAACTGAAGAGCATCTTAGTTTCGCTTATCTTTCCCCCGCATTTCTCTCAACTTTCATTTATTTTCTGCTTTTTATGAAACTGTGGAACTTCAACTTCTTTAACATTGCACAAACGCATTAAATAGTAAGAGATTTTTCAATAGAAAATATTATTTCAAGCCATCTATTACGTATTAGATGGTTATTTCACCGCTGACCTTTTAAGACATAGAAAAAAGACTTCAATCAGAGCAGGCTCGGCAGAATATTTCGCAAATACTAAACCGTAGTCGGCATACTTCAATTCCTGTCGAGATATCGTTAAAGTAAGTCATCTACTGTAATAATCGTATTGCCTAAATTCCCAGACTTGTCTGCTTATTCAAAAAGATGGACGAAGACATAAAAATGGCGGACCTGTCGCAAGGGCCCTCAGACGCCGCAATGTTAGCTGGGCCATCTAAAAATTTGAATAAGAATAAGTTGGGAAAGCAGTCTGGTATTCTCACAAAACAACTAGCTTACAAGCATTTCCTTGAAGAGTTTCGCAAGACAGTTCCGGAGAAGACCGAATCCGAGCAAATGTTGGAAGCTGCAGCCAAGTGGAGCTCCATGTCCCTCGAAGAACGTCAACAACTTTGTTACCCTGAAAAGCAGCTGCATAACGACGATAAGACTGAAGAGGGCAAGGCAGAAGAAGATCTAAAAAAGATGAAAGACTGCTTTGTGTCTTAACGAATGTAATACATATCTCAAGAAGTACATTAAATGTGTCCAATCCACTGACAAATTTTGTTACTTATTAGAGATGAACCGTTCTTAACTGTTCTTATTTCAAGGCTAAGTTCAAAGTCTAAGAAAATTCCTTAAAGGTCCAGTTTAAGTTGTATTTCATAGATAAATAATCGCTGAGATGGCTCTGAGGCTATATATCGATATATCATTAAATTGTTTAGCTGCAGCATCTTTAACGTTGCCCGAAGCCCTCCAAATTATAGGATTTCGGTTTAGCAACAGCAATAGCAAGGTTTATTTCCAAGCACTGTTTCTATCGCTTTTCATTTCAGTTTTCTATAATTGTTTGGGTTTAATGTGGACCTGCTCCCCTTAATATTTATTCCCGAGCAATTCAAGAGCATCTACAGTGCGGCGCTTACTTAATCTCCCCTCAACCAACTCTCATCCCCCTAGTTGTTGTCTTATCTGCCGCTTTTGTTTTTGCGTTAGTAAAGAGCACACGGAGGGTTTTGTTTCAGGGGGGCTGGGGAACAGAGTTGACCCGACTCCGATATCTTTATGCTGGATGCAGACAGGACAGGCTAAACAATATGTGGATGGCCAATATTTTGATAAGTGTAAGCAAAAATAAACAGGCCGTGAAGGGCAGGACAACCCGAGAACCCAAAAAAAAACCGAAAACCAAAAAGTTGTGGAATCCTCGGCCCAAAGCAAACTGAAAGTCGAACCAAAAGAAAGTGGGAGGAAGAGATTTCTTTTTCCTCTCGTTTGGACCAGCTCCAGTGCTGAGTAGTCTAGGGACATTGACCATTGTTAGGGAAAGTTTCAGACAGCAAACAGTTTTTTGTTTATGCGTACGAGTAGTCTGTCTCTCTGTGTCTCTGAGAGTGTCCCTATGGGAGGAGGTGTATGGCTTCTTGAGTGAACTACTTTGGTTTTTATAGCCAGCTTCAAAGCGCCATGAGAGACAGGAATCATAAGGTGATAAGAGGGACAACCCTGTTAAAAAGAGCAAAGATGGGAAGGGAAAACTGAGAGTCCTAGCATGTACACATCTCCTTCCCGAAAGAAACAATTGATATTCCATGTCCGACTTGTTGGAGCTGCCTAAGTCGCAGTTCCGCTCCTATTATTTGTCATGGTTGACAAACGAAATATAATTAGGCATTTGCTTTATTTGTTTCAATCTTGGCCACATAATATTATTATGCCAGGCGGCACTCGGGGCCACCGAATGCCCATGGCCCATGGCCATGGCCAACAGCCAGAGCTAATTTATTTAAGACGCCAGCAACATGGCCCCAATACGAGTATTTGCCAGGCAAAGGCAAAGGGCAAACTCGTGCCCCCCAAATTATTACTTGTTCACATATGTACTGCGCATATATCCGAACGAGTGCTGGTACATACACGTATGTAAGTTCATCCAATGATTCTGGAAATAAACCGAAACACAAATTGAGCTGTAATCAAAAATACATTTTTCTTTAATTAGCTGAGAAATCGGAAGCGATGGGAGGGAGGGTGGTGTATGGGAAAACTCCTGACAAAACCGTTAACATTTACACATCATTAGTACGAGAGCACGACGACCATCAGGCATTTACGATATGTTAATTTTTTCAAGGAATCCAAGTACATTCTTCATATTACAAGTAGGCGTGCACTTGAAATTTAAAAAATGAAGGAGACTCGAAGGGGCTACGTCCATTGTTTGCATCCTCTAGCCACTGCTGATGGAGGGGAGAACTCAAGAATCTGGTTGGTCGACTAGGATGTACCCTGCTCACAGCAGTTGGACGAAAACAAACATAGAACACGAATCATAAAAACCTTTTTTCCACCTTGCCACCAGTGCCACTCGCTTTGACACCCCTGTTTTGAAACCAGTTGGTCGGATGGAGAGTTTAGCACTCCCCCTGAGGGTGCCATATGCGAAATATTTGCATAAAAATAACACCAACAACAATGTTTATGTCTCAGTTGAATGGTGATTGTGACTCCCACTCTGAATGTGATTCTAAAAATTCCAAATTCCCCCTTTATATATCCCCCCTGTCTGTAAAACAGCCCCAGCCCAAACCAAAGGATTTTGCGGCTCAATAGCTTATACCCGAAGGAGACGGAACAGACCGTAAAACGAAGGACTTGTTGATAGGATAGAGGGGTTGACCAACCATTACCAACAGCCAAACGAAATCAATTCGGATTTAAATGTATATTTTCCATAGATAAGCCCGAAATGCTCCAGCAACTGGCTCCATGCCAAACACATACAAATGTATATATTTATATGTATAATGCACTTAAATGTATATATATTTGTGATTCTGATAGATGTGCGTCAATAACGCGAGCGCATACAAACGATTTCACTTCCAGTTGAATTCGGCAATCGAGCAATCAGCCAATGGCCCATCCAGATCCTCATGAAAATAGTTTTGCAAATCGAAAAACTTGATGCGTGTACGCGATGGCGGGGGGATTCGGGGGCATACTGGTACACGGACAAACTGTGGCATAAATTGCGGTGGCATTGTTTGAAGTGCCAGCAGCCAGACTCAGAGTCGAACCCTGGCCAATGGCAACAAAATTCATGAGCCGCAAATTGTAGTTTCGCTGCAGCGAATGTGTCTATCAATGAATGGAGTAGCCATGGAAGCCAAGGGATGCATCAACGTTTGCGCTCTGAATATTTGACATTATGTCACACGGACTCATAAATGTTCCACCTCAAATGGACTCCGTTCCCGTCCCCCACCACATCCTACTGCTGTGTTCTGCTGCTGACAATGATGGAATACTGTTTGATGTTTGATTGGTTTTGCTATTCGACTCGATGTGGGGGACACTGAGACGAGTACGAGCTGCTAGGGGTGAGGTGGTGGGGTGTGGATTCTGTTGTTCAGGGGAGGAATACAAATGGTAAATATAAATAAACAAGCAACATTTTGGTGTCGATGGGTGGATAATGATTGATTTCGGGCACAAAAACGAAAGTGTTAACTAAGCTCGGTCCCGTGCTTACGCCTAGCACTTCCAAGAGCATCGATAAAAGTGTATCACATAACTTTAATCCAGATAATAAATCAGCCTAAAATATGGAACATCTCACTTGAATATTTCGCTATAAATTCGAAGGTCTCTCGAAGATCCGCATTTGCTTTCATTGAACATCTTGAAAATATTACCAGAGAGAAAATGGGGCCTTCATTTTCAATACTTCGACTGATATTTCTTAAGCGATACTTTATAGTAAACTCCTCAAAACCTATCACAATTTAGTTGCTTTAAGTTTTCTCTCTCTCTCTCTGTTTATCTCTGTGAAACGTGTGGCCGGGCCTTTATAATGATTACGAGAGTTCATGAAGTGCCACACGTCCACATTCAACCCCATCCTGGTAGCTCCTGAAACTATTTCACGCTAAAACCAAAAGCTAAACCTAAATGCACATAAATCAAAAGCAAAAACTTTTGTTTTCAGTTATCACAAGCCATGCAGACACACAGATACGCACAGATACTTAGGTAAGATTTACATATAAATACATACATATATGTATGTATATGCATATCAGGGAATGTATGTGTGTGTGTGCGTCTGACAAAACAGTTAGCTAGTTTATGCTGTTTTCTAAGAATTTTCAACGGGCGAAACACAAACAAAAGAAGATAGAAAAGCCTCCTTCAGTGGCCGAAGCTGTGTATACCCTTCCGTACAGTTTGCAATAAAAATGCTGACAATTGTCAATATTCTGAAGCTGAGTGGTTATTAAATTGCCTATAAGAATGGATAAAAAAGATGTTGCAGGTAATTCAGGCAAAATACGAGCCCCAGAAACAACGAGGAAAAGGATAGTCTTATTCTGGTAGTCGATGCATTTCAAGTTAGATTGTTTTTATGGCAGATATGTACATGATATACTCACAAGTAGCAGTCCACTTTTTTTGATCACTTTTTAACTTTGTTTCATCCAAATTATATCTTGTCGACAGCTAATAATATACTATTCCAATTTCAAAGATTCTATTTATAACAAAATAGGAACAAGTTAATTCAGTTACTGTAAGTCATCTATTATGTTCAATAAAATAAATGTTAGAATTGTCTTTCCTAGATTCCCAAACTTGTCTGCTTTTTGTTAAAAAAGATGGATGGCGACATCCGAATGAACGACTGGGGCAGGGGCCCATCGACATCTCAATATTGGCTGACCCATCTACTAGTAATTCGAACAAAAATAAGCTGTGATAGCTGTCTGGTATTCCCACAACACGACTATCGTACAAGCATTTCGGGGAAGCCAGAATCTGAGTAGTTGAGGGGGCAGCCATTTGGAATTCAATATCTCTGGAAGAACGTCAAAAGATTTTGTACCCTGACTAAAACTAAAAAAAAGGCTCAAGTTGCTTTGTGTCTTAAGGACTGTACTACATATCACACGAATTTTATTAAATGTTTGTTGAATGAGCCAGTACTATAAGTGTTTCACTCTTCCACTTTCATAGACTAAAGCATAGACATTTGACGTTGCTAACTGACTATCTGCAAAAGCAGAGACAGCCTTATGGGAAAACTAATCACTGAGAGCTAGAGAGATTTTTGCGAAATCTTTGCTTTCTCTGCGGCATAAAGGATTGTTGCACTTTTTAGATCCAATTTTGCTTGCTGGCTGTATGCGTTGTCACAAGTACTGCCTCAGTCCTTCGACCAATAGCCTATCTCTCATGACATCTATGTCTTTGAAGCATAGTAAGAAAAGTTTAATGTCAGAAGGCTATGAGGATATATGTATATCGATATTCATGCTGCTTTATCTCAGCGTTACAAAAATCTTGCCAAACTTTTAATACCCTGCTCCAGTGTATGCCACACGTAAATCAACAACAGCCGCAGCAGCAGAAGCTCATCATAAAACTCATTTGGTTCAGCCAACCCCTTCAACTCTCTCCCTTACCGAAAAAGCACTTGGCCGAAACGGAGAGAGAATGCCAGAGCAATGCCAAAATGCTCATTTCGTTGTCCTTTTTCGTCTG